TCTTGTCTTTTTACTTTTCTTGTATAAGAATCACTGAGTTAAGGGATGGTTTGCTTGCCTAGCCCATCCTCCTGGCCAAACACAGGACTGTCTCCAAAAGGGGGCTTAGATTTTCAGTACTTTCCAGAGCTGTATGATCATGAGTCAATAATCTAAGATGCTGAGGGCATGTCTATACTTTTATCAGCGCAGCTAAATTGGGCACAAGGAGGAAGTGGCAGCCAAGGCAGATCACTGCATGAACGACACTATACAACCTCTGGTTCAGGCTGCAGTGTGTGGGGAGTAGTGTGGTATGTGTAAGCATGGGCTAGCCAACCTTTAACTTCTAACACAGGCAATTGAGTGAATCAAACTGGCTCAAAAAAACCTTTCTTTCTACAACCACTAGGTGTCAGAGTTAAAACATGGGATGAGTTTGCTGATTAAATTAGCTTATTTCTTATAGGGATTCAAGACTCACTCATATAGGGGGAAAAAGCAATAGATAGATATGTATTAGATGCTAAAGGGAATTTTCTTCCTTTTCAGGGTGGTGAGAACAGAAGGATATTCTTTTTCTTTTGAACTACTGACCTGTTGAAACTGTTCTAAACAGCACTGAACCTGAGTTTTTTTTCTGGAATAAGACACCAAGGTCTCAAACCCACAACTCATTAGGCTCATTCAGCCTGTATTCTCTATCCCATCCATCCCATCCAAATTAGAAGAGAGATAAGGAGACTTTCCCAGTGTTTCCTTACTGCACACAAGAGAACCCTAAACTCTCCATATATCTCAATCATTACCTGAGGCAACTATAGGCCAAAGACATACTACACAGTCACCAGTGTTACAGTTGACCAGGCAGTCTCATATATCAGAACTGTGCAAAAAGAAACTTTCTTTTAGAAGCCTCAAAGCAAAATATTGGATTCCTGTAGACTTTTATCTGATCCTGCTCTGCAAGCTTCTGTAGACAAACTTAAGTTGAAAGAGCAGTTCTGATTGCATGAGAAATATATTTCTGGCAACTTGGTTTCACTAGGTTCTCAGCCCACAGAAAAGCATCTTTAACAGTCTGTGCACAACCTCCCTTAGCAAAGTGCTCAGAATTGCACAGTGCTGCTAGGGAAGCCAAATCTTTACCCACAATAGAGGTCTGCTTTTATAGAATTGAACTATGAGAAAGGAATTGGGAGACTAAGCACTGGGGACTTGCTAAGCAAGGTGAAATCCCTTCCCTTTCTGCTTTTCAGCCTTTCCCTGCCTTGCAAATCTGGCCTAAGTTATTTAGTTTTGCTGCCAAAACTTGAATTCTGTCAACAAAATTTTGCATTCACCCCCACACAAGTGTCTCCAATGCAACCAAATCCCAGGTTTCTGTTGGCTGGGT